GTATCTCTTTAGTGGCACATTTGACACTGTTTTATTCGTTTAACAAAATCGCATTTTATATAACAAAATAGTATTTTGTTAAAACGAAATAATATTTCGTTAAAACTTAATAAGATTTCATAAAAAACAACGTATAAACGAAACAAATTTATGATTAAGGAATAAGATTTCGTAAATACGAAATATATTAACCTTGGACGATTAAATTGCCAGGAATTACACAACTGCTACCAATACAATTAACTTCTACATCAAAGACACAGTATCAAAAATTAACATGGTAAGCACCACTAACGTTTTCTAGTTAGTGAATAACACTACTTCTAACACTACTGTTTCACATTTACAAACAATATTGACCGCTACAAAAAAACTTTATTAGACGAATTTATGGCTACTTCAAACAAATCCTTTATTTTTTAATATTATCATTGAGACTCTAGTTGTTTACATAATTATACCTAAAGATGATTTAGATTTTTTAATCATAACATTAACAATGTCACCAGCACAAATGTAAAAGCATAAATATGATATCACCTAACTGAAGGCCACAAAAAACTCTTTATTATCATCAACAAACAGAAAATAAAACACCTGTCTATCGGTAAAACAAGTAAAATGGTTTCCTGCGGTGAACATTTTAATGATATAAAGATATTTCATTTAACTATTTTCAACATTATTGGCGGGGGGGGGGGCGGGTAAATAAACGTTTGTATCAGGAATATAGTTCACAATAACCTATCAATATAGAAGAAGGTCTTTGAAAACTGGTGAACATTGAAGACCGGAGAATGTCGAACATAAAACAATTATTTCTGTTTAAGAAAATGATTAAAATTAGAATCTAATAGGCCTACCATTTTATGAATAATTCCGAGCAAAAAAATAAATAAAGTAAACACACAAGTTTGCGCAGAAAATATCTCTATCTCTAATACACTACGAATACTTCAATTTTGTAGATTTTCAGTATAAACAATTTATTGTTTGTAAAATTTGAGATAGATATTAAAGAAACATTGATCAATTTCACACACATCATTCAAGTTTTTCTACTTTAAACAGAGAAATAATTATAGAAAAATAGAAATAATACGTAAAGTTTTTTTGTTCTCAATTATGTATAATTCGGACTAATTCACTACAGCTAAATCCGTAACGTACCGGCAAACAGTATTTAGCTGGGTTTTCGAAAAGGTCAATTAACCAACCATATACGGTTTACAGATCACATGCTCCTCCATGTACCGAAAACAGGTCACGTGCTCCTCCATGCCTCAAAAGTTAAACGCGTACCAATACCCTGCGGTCTCCAGACCGCAGGGAATAACCTCCTCTTAGTGGAGACCTCTAAAATCAATTATGATTTGAGTCATAAGACATTTCTGTAATTTTATCAAAAGCCTTTTAAAAATTTACAAAAACACAATATAAATCGATTTTTTATATATAACGGACACCTACAATAGAATTATGTGTCCAATGACTAAACATTGGTAAATGGGTTCACAATAATCGATTATTTTTAACTAAAATTGGTGTGAGAAAATAGACATACTGAGATAACTGGATAAACAAAAAATAGGTAAACTAAATGGTTAAACCTCTGTTTACTTGGACCACCACAATGTTTGATCAATACATTAAAACAATTGCACTTTAGAAAGTTGACGTTTACATACAATTTATTGCGCAAAACTTTTGCGACATAACATAGCTGACATTTGGCAACGTTATGTTAAAAGGTGTTTGTTTTGTTTTTAAATTTTATTTTAAGGAGAATTCATAGTTTTCTTCCCTAATCTACTGAATTGTCTAAAATAATTTAGAAACATATAAGGAACTCATCAATTGTTTCTTCTTGAAAATACCCATTCCTTTCTTGCCTTTTAATTTGTTTAAATGAAGCTTAGACGTATTCAAAGCTTTTACTTTAAACGTAAGCATTTGATACTCAACATTTAAACATGACATGGTAACATTTTGAATTTAGTAACATCCGCAGATGTGTTCATAATTTTTTTAAAACTATGTTAAACTCAAACAAAAGGTGTTGATTTATTTCATGTTGAAAACAATTCCCCATTAAGGTTGACTTCTGTAATAAAAATAATATTGTTTACATGTAACATGTATGACATTATGTAAATAATTTGCCATTGTCAGTTTAAAACTGATTCTTGCAGGATGTTGATTTAATTGTTCAGTCAGCTTATTTGGTTCATTTAAATTTGAAATTAGTCTAATTATCAGCCTGTGTATAGCAGAAAGTTGCACTTGTATAAATATCGTATATGATAACAAAATTCAACATACGGAAACACGCTTTCCTTATTACAAAACTATTTTGTAAGAGCGACTTAAAGAATACACTGTTTTTAAATATATCTTACGATCTTATTTTGACTTTTTTAGATATAAAGTTATAACGTCTGATATTTATCAAGAAAGTCTGTACCTGAAGCTAAAAATATACAACTAGATGATTTAGCTTCAAATGACACTTACATAGATATATGTTTGTTTTCACCTTATTTGGTATATGACGTTTAAGTAACTAATATACATCACAAGAACAAGTATTTGATTATGCGTTCATATTTTCAGTTATTTTTCGTGTTTGAAAATAGTATATTGTAAAAATTACTCAAAAACGACTTTAGTACAATGAAACTATCCATAAATCTGTGCTTATGATTAGCTATACGAAACAAGCAGAACTTTTTCTTTGGCATGACAATGTTTGAAACAATATACCTGAAACAAAGTTTCATTTGATCTTATCAACACCTGAACGTTTTTATTGAAGATCGAAATATATTCAGAACTTGTGTGATTTTTGCGGCATAAAGTCTCAATTAAACCGGTCTGCATCATTTTAATTTTAACAGTCACGCCTGAGCGGAACCGCATAGCAAAATTGATGTGCACTAGGAATAGAAGCAATTTTCCACCGACGAATTTCACTATTTACCTTGCGAATCACAGGCGTATGTATAATGGAGGAAATTCAGAAATAACTGAGCATTTACGTTTAAATATTCTCACTTTTATCAATCTAAGTGAAATGTGATTAAACATTTGAAATCAAAGATTTTTTTCAGTCTGAATTCGGTATTTTTACAAGAGATAGTTTACGTCATTGACTTGGGCTATTGACTTGGGCTGTCTTCTGCACTGCAAATAGCTGGCGTAATATGCAAGATAATGAAACAATTGCTTATTGTAAAGATCATTTTTGTGTAATGTTATTTAACTTACTAGTACTTGCGTCATATGAGAAAAATATGGCTTTGAGTAGGGCTCGAACGCATAAATCTGGGTTGGACACAGGCAAATTAACAGCTGGATCATCGCGCAGCTTGTATTGTTTTATTCTTCAGCTTTACCATCGTAATATGTGTAATACGCTGAGTTCAACGTGAAATCGATTGATTTATATGTACAATGAAGTAAGCAAATACATTTTTATTCGATGCAAAATTTATTTGCGTGCAGTATATTTGTTTTCGATAACAATTTGTATTTGTTCAATAACAAAAGACCAACTTAGATCATGGTAGAAATTTAAGATTTAGGGAATATATTATTTAATATTATAAATATCCAAAATATCTTTAAGAGAAATGTGCATGATGAAAATATGTTGCATTTATTGAACGCCGCCAATCCTTGTATATATTATTAAGAATATATTGTTTATAACTAACATTTAAATTAAAATATAAACGACATATCCCAAAAAAGGCGCAGTTATAAGAACAATATGTATAACAAAGGTGTAATAATTACATTGTTCGAGCTAATTACCAATCAAAACGGAAGCACAGTATGAATACTTTAATATGGTTATCATACATTTTTGGTGTCCTTTGGTTGCCAATCAAGAGTCTAGAAAAGTTGCACATATTAATGACAGGTTAACAGACAAATAAAAATCAAACTTATGGTACAAGATAATTATTCCGGATATAGAGCAGGGCGTACAGAACAATCTATCTAATACTAAATTACATTCACAAAGCTCACTCTGCTTATCAGTCTTAAGAATACAACTTCTTTTTGAGCGTGACTAAACGAACAGCTTTGTTGTTTGCAGCAGCTAATTAGAATTCTAATATCCTTAAAATCAGTATCAGCAGTTTTAATTTCCGGAATTCAATAAACAGACCGTAACATTTGTGAAATTCATTTGCAATTAAAGAGATTTTAGCATGAGAAAAGAATATATTCTGCAGCCATCTACTTCAGGCACGATATCTGCTTTTTTTCTTTCTAGTGGTGTTGATGAACGAAGCCAATATTTATCTAAGTGTAACCTCATTTTTTTACTTAATTGCTTGTCATTTGTGAGTAGTATGTTTGTTTGTTTTTATGTTTTTAATGTTCTTCACATATTGACATTTGCTTCACGTCATCGTGTGCCTCTGATGTCAGATGCGCAAATGGCTGACCAATAATCACATAATGATATTTCTTTAGCAGAGGTGTGAGACAATTGACCATTGCCACTAATGTCTGATGTCAATCGTTACGGATATGTTTCAACTTGCCAGATGATCCAACTAGCGATCCCTGAATGACAAATTCGTTGCTTTCTCTGTTGGGCTAAGCGGGTGGACAGTTGTGTATACCGTTCCCACGAAAATGCTAAGCGTATTGATGCATAAAACCAAACAAACTTTTATGTTATTTCCTTCTATCTAATGAATATATTGTTTATTGCTACATGCAAATGTATGTCAAGCATTTAATTATTTAAAAATCAAACCCAAATAAGGCTTGCTTGTTTATAATAATGTCTAACCAGAATACAATTTGTTTATTTCAATGTAATAGGGATTGTGTCTTCTATGGGTTTATCGATAGGTTGGACAATCTGTAAACATAATAATAGATACGTGTATACAGCAGCTGGTGTTACTATCTGGTTACCGGTAATTATTGAAGTTTGTGTCAGAGAACACGCGATACTGGATTTTCAAATTGAATTCAGTCAGATGGAATACTTTGCGCTCGAATGAAAGACGTTTGTGAGAGAAATATTAAATATTTTGTTTCATGGTATTCATACAACAGCTCTAAGAATTATATCGGATAATAAAAGAATAGTATGTGGAAAAAGAGAAAGATATAGAACTAATTTTGTAAGTTAAATCTTTATTTTCAATTAATATAAGAAATATATAAAAATTCCTTTCAGATTTATTCTTTTATGACATTTCAATGCAATACTTTTTGAACTACGCAGAAATGAATAATAGTGTTACACTGTTTGCTGAAGTTTTAAGAAATTGTCGAGAAATAAGCAAACAATTAATAACCTTTTTTATTGTAATCTAACAAATGTACAGTATGAATACAATCGTTTGTTATACATGTAATATATTTTAAATGACTAAACAAAAGTGTTAAAGAAAGCTTTTGTTAAGCCAGTTATTCTATCGACAAAAGTGACTACTGTAACAGTTAATACAGTTCATTCGTGTAGTTTCCAACGTTTCATAGATACATTAAATTTGTATTTAGATGTACATGTACGTTTCTATAATTACAAACACAAATCTTTCTCTTTGTGACAAATTGAATATAAATGCAAATTTCAACATGATTTTTTTTGTTTCATTATAAACGAAGGGTTATTTACTGTTTTCCTTTAGAACTATTTCATACATAGTCTTGCAAAAATTGAAAATTAATTGTAATAAGTAATATGTAAAAAATATTCAAGCAACGTATATATGTAAAAACAGTTTCTCTAAAGCCTGTAATATTTCAAATATTGAAATTAGTTTAACATGTACGCGTATTAAATTAACAAATAGTTTGTCTATACACTATTATTATTTTATTTTAATTGACTATTTAATAAAATTGGCGTTGTAACGTTATGTCCAGTTTCTTAAAATATTACCATTGACGGATTTTTTTCTATTGGAATACTACCTACAAAATATATTTAAAAAAAGAAATGTTTAAAACCGAATGTTTGATGTGTTTTAAGGGAAATTAAGAAGTAAAGACCATTATCATACTTAGTATTTTGTAAGTTTTGGTGATACATTTTACGGCTGTTTATTATTTTATTGATACACATAACATAATAAATAATTGCGTGTGTGTGTGTGCGTGTGCGTGCGCGTGCGCGTGCGTGTGCGTGTGTGTGTGTGTGTGTGTGTGTGTCAAATGTTTCAATACAAGCACAGCATATCTCGTTTGACCTTTTTACGGAAGCTGAATTTATTTTATTTTCATAATATATTCATCAATGCTTTCAGTTTCTGAAATGTCCTTTCTCAAACACATTACAGAAGCTTTATTAAATCATGAACGCCAAATGCTATCAGGAACTGGACTTGTATTGAACATAATTTAAAATATTTTGTAATTTTAAAAGTATGTAGTAAAAAATTAATATTTGTGAAAATCTGTGACTTTAATAAAGCTTGAACAAATTGCAATGTATAGAAAACACAGCAATTTTGTACAATACTGGATATCATTAACATGATCTCAAAGGTTATGCTTTCATATTATATATCATGTTATATTTATTTACATTGATAACAATGTGATATTATTCCTAGGTAATGACATATACTTAAGTGACACGTGACCTTTCCATTTGCACGTGTGTGAACTGATTATAATATCATTATCGAACTTAAAACATAGGAAGAACTAGTATTGACATTTGTTCAATTGTCCAATTCACAATAATTGTGCACTTATCACACGTATTATCGTGTTATAATGACTTTCACATAATATCATCAACTGATATTGAAAATTGCAATTGATAAGATTGGCCGTTTTATTGACTAGAACCTATTAAAAAATTAGGAAATGCATGGAAAACCCAAAAAAAGTATCCCTTTTAAAAATTTTTCTATGTTTGTTGACATTTAAAGACATAAAAAAACTGAGTTTTTTTTTCTCGGGTTTTATATTCAAACATTCCTATCAATTATAAAAGATTTTTTAAAAACTTACCTACTAAAGCTAGACATTGACAGAGAAAGGTCAATATAGATCTGCTCTTGACTTGGCTAATGTATTGCTTCAATTAACGATAATTATTTCACAGGACAGATGATTTGTCATTGAACCAGTCGTATTGTCTGTTTACCTTAACAGACGCTGTATGTCTGTAATGAATTGGCCTGGTTTAGAATGTTACTGCTCTTTCAAAGATTAAGGGGGAGATTACAGGCTTGCACGGCTAAATAATGAACAGTTAATTGTGAAAAGAGATAACTTTTTTTTTGTAAATTGTTGTTTCAAAAATCATTTTGGAATCTGGAAAAGGGGTGAATAGATTTTTTTTCTAGCTTTCGGTCGGTTTCTTTTTATGTGGTCAAAGTATCTATTCTTTTTAGTAAAATATCTATTGATTTTACTATCGAATGAAACAGTTTTTAAAAGCAAACTAATTTTGCAACATTAAAAATTGAATTTCAATTGGTTTTATGTAATTTCATAACACACAGAAAAAGTTCATTTAACATCATATATTAAATCGCGTTGTTATTTCATATACCATTCTAAGATGGGTTATATTTTAGAAATAGGCAATAAACTTATGAAGAATCTTCATAACATTTGAAAGCCATTTGAAAGACTTGAAAATTAATCTTAAGCAAAAAATGTGACTGTTGTTCTCAGATAAAAAACAAACGGAAGCGTACCATTTTTTAAGCAATGAGAAACAAAAACGAAAGAGACTTTGATAAATGACAATTTTGTAATGGATTTTGAACACTTCTGTTTAACTGTCAATTTTAAGAGGAAAGTTAAAAATGGTATAGATCTTTCTTTATTTAAAGAAAAATAGAAAGGGGTGGCAAACAAGATTGTCAAACAAATATGTCTGAATATTGTACTGCTTTTTGTCAGATTTATTATAGACAAAGAAACAATTCCAACTACGGGAATCTGCAATAATATTTGTTCTAAAATGTAATAGTAATTTCGATCAGATACGCTAAAAAAAAGAACGTAACATTCCTAAAGAACTAAAGATCCTTTAAAATTAATAAAAAGACATAAATACGACTCGGTTTGTTGACAGTGTTATGGAAGACGATAAAAGCTAAAAGCTGTTACATTTCCTACAACTACACCGGCGGCTTTCACAGTATTCAATCTTCAACACAATTACGTATTAAACTTAATTATTGTTATTCAAGGATATAATGTGTATACAAATTGCTGTAGTAAGAACTTAGAAGTTTGTTTCATTTTACAAAACTTTTTAACTGGCATTTTTCTTTAGTAATTGGAAATAAAAAAAAAGACTTAATTACCACAAGCACAACAATAATGTCGTGCTGAACGATTTTTAAGGATCGGATATCTCTGACTGAATGTACGGGGCGACTTTTTACAGCCTCCACACGGCACAAACAATGCTGATGTGGCGATAAAATAGAAATAAATAAAAATCCCTTAGGTAAAGTTTGAAACCTTCTATACGTTTTCATGTTTTTCATTTGAAAAAAAAGTGCTATACAACGTTAATTGTATAACTAAAAACACACCCGGATCAGGACCAAATGAATTACTGATATTATGATTTTTACAATAATATCATAGATAACTAGCTATCGAAACAGTTATATAATAGTATTTATTAGAACTTTTTTCTATGTAAACATTACATATATGATTTAATTCAAATACTAGTATACAAGCAATTATCTCAATTTACGAGAAGCGACAATCATGCGCTTCAACGCATCGGAAAATCTATTTTTCTGTTTAAACACACTCGTATTTGTTATGTAATTTGTTATACTAGGGGAATCAATATCATTGAAGTACGCTTGAATCACACGTTGGTCAGTCACACTTTCTTATTGTTACGAATATTGAGTATTTTTCTGCAGTGATAAAGACAGTGAATGATGTCGATAGTATTGTCACATATAATGAAACTATTTAAACATTTGTTTTATGTCAGAGGATATATTCAGATGCTATATTTGGACAACAGGGTCTCTCTTTAGTGAAAACATGTGGTACATTTTTTATCCGCTTAAAAAATCACATTTCATAAAAAACAAATAATATTTCGTTAAAACTTAAAAAGATTTCATAAAAAACGTATAAACCAAATAGCATTTATGATAAAGAAAAAGTAAATACGAAATATATTAATATTGGAAGATTAAATTGTCATCACCTACTCAACTGCAACTAATACAAATAACTTCTTCATCTTTCATAGATACAGTATTAACAACTAACATTAACAGCACCATTTACTTCTTCTAACACTAACACTACTATTTCACATAGACAAACAATACTGGCCACTACAAAAGTGCTTAATTAAAACACACGTAAATTTATTTCAAACAAATCCTTTAGTTTCCTCAATATTATCATTGAAATTCCAGTTTTTAACGATATATATAAAGAAGATTTAGATGTTTGTAATCAGTTCTGGTGAATCATAAAAATAACCATGTCGTTAGCAAAAAAGAAAAAAAAACAACTGAATTCCACTGTAAATGCTCTATGAATAACTTAACATTATCATTAAACAAACAGAAAATAAAACACTAAGCTATCGGTGAAATAACCTCCTCATAGCGGAGACCTCTAATACCAATCATGACTGAAGCCATAAGACATTTCTGTAAATATTATCAAAAGCCTTTTAAAAATAATAAAAAAAACAAAAAAACAATATAAATTGGTTTTGTTATATACCTTCAATAGATTTCGTGTCCAAAGAGCCATTTGAGCATCAGAATATTTGTTCACAAAAATCAATGATTTTTTCAACTAGAATTGCTGTGAAAATATAGACATAATGAGATAAATGCATCAAAAATGTAGATAAACTAAATGGATTAACATTTGTTTACTTGGACCACCACAATGTTTAGTCAATACATTAAAACAATTGCACTTTAGAGAGTTAACGTTTACATACAGTTCATTGCGCAACCTTTTTACGACCTAACATAGCTGACATTTGGCAAGGTTATGTTAAAAGGTGTTTGTTTTGTCTTTAAATTTTATTTCAAGGGAAAGTCATAGTTTCTTTTATTCTCTTATCTACTGAATTGTCTAAAATAATTAAGAAACGTAAAAGGAACACATTAATAATGCTCATTCCTCTATTGCCTTTTTCATT